TGAGTAATAACGTTGAGGTTCCCGTGAATGATTCTCGGATCGAAATTCGAAAAGTCGATTATCATATTTTATCGCAAAATTGATTGCTTGACTCAAAGTTTGAGGATCAGGTAAGTTGAGCATCAATTTCTTTACTTCGTATTGCAATCCATAAAGAAATTGACTGATGAGTGCAGCATCATCCCACTTGATGTCAATTGCAAGTTGTCAAAATTGTGAAGCATATACTGTTACTAAGCGATTTCTTTGTCGCAGAATTCGGATCTTATTTGTTGCAACACGAGTTGCATCGTGTTCACCATACATAGATCGAAACTTCGCCAAAAAAGCTTCCAAATTGTCCAATATTGGATTTCGTTGTTCAAGAAAAGATGAAAACCACGATAATGCAGAAACAGAAAGTAGAGTGCCAATAAACCTGACTTGTGATCCTGGAGTTGGATAGCTTTGTGGTTGAAGTTCAATTGCCAATTGTACTTGATTGATGAACCCTCGAAACTTTGATCTCGTACCATCAAATTTCTCAAGTAAGGCAATTCTTGGTTCTCTAGTGCTTATAGGGTGTTGTACAATTGGAGAAGGAACGTGATTTGTTGTAGATGTTGAAGCAGCTCCGATCATCTCTATATCTCCACTTTTTGCTATTCTTGTTCTTTCCTGTGTTGGTGAATTGAGTTGATGCATCGCAAGCATTAACTCCCTCACTTGCTCTTGCATTTGTGCCATTGCACTCTTCATTTCAACAAGCTCTGCCATAATGACACTAAGAAGAAAAATTTGTTTGATATTGCTCAAGACAAAAGAAAAGAAAGACTTAATAACAAAGAAGATACTAAGAACAATATCAGTTTAGAAGTGGGTAATCCGCAAACTTCTAATACGCTTATGTCTTGTCAAGAGAAAGGGGTAATCCACTCTTACTCAAGAAAAAACAAAGCTCTGATATTGTAAGTGTACTCTTGTCAATCTGTCAAGGACAAAGACTCGATGAGGGAAAATATACACCAAAAGGCTATCTCGATATAATAAGTCAAAATATAAACAAGTAGGTATATTAAAAGGAAACTGGAATGGCTATTGCCACAAGATAAGAAACTAAAGACTCTTGAACCTGGACTAGAAGCAAGAAAGGAGTTGACAAGAGTGAAGAAGCCTTCACTCTTGTCTCTATATATACTATCTAACTAGGGGCTACGTGGCGACGTTCTATAGGACCTCCAATATGTGTTGACTTTGTAGGATACATGCCTTGACTTACAAGGCAAGTTTTTCCACGTATGGGCCACATAGTTAGCTTGATCTTCAAGCTAACAACATGTGTGGCACATGGCCAACTTGTTGACCACGTTTCTAATCCAAAAAGTCAATTAAAGACACCTATGAAGTCAAAGTAGTATCTAGGAAGTTTCTAGGAAGCTTCTATATTAAATATTATAGAATTAACTTACTTTTATCTACTTTTACTTACTTCTACCTATTTCTATATGTAATTATTAGCTTACATGATTATGGCCGTGACACACATGCCTTGACTTACAAGGCAAGTTTTTCTACGTGTGGGCCATAGAATTAGCTTGGTCTTCAAGCTAACAACATGTGTGGTACATGGCCAACTTGTTGACCACGTGTATAATCCAAAAAGTCAATTAAAGACACCTATAAAGTCAAAGCAGCATCTATGAAGCTTCTAGAAAGCTTCCATAGCAAATATTATAGAATTAACTTACTTCTACTTACTTTTACTTACTTCTACCTATTTATACATGTAATAACTCGCTTATATGCGTATGTTCGTGACAATTACTCAACTCAAGAGACATTGTTGAAGTAGAGAGAGCTTGCTTTAAAAAAGCGCTAGGCCTTTAGCTACTACTAATCATTCAAATAAATTGTAAGTTTATAAAATACAAATATTATTTATAGCTTATCTTCAGGGAGACAATTATATCAAATATACAAATCTAGGTTGCACAAAAGTACTCAAGATGTGACTAAATATCCTATAAATATTTCTACTCCTATGGAAATCCCTTCTATATATGTATCACTTAATAACTTCTAATCTAATTGCTCAGTTGGATTCAAAATTCCCTTCAAATTAACTTATATTCTTAACTATCTTTATACAAAAAATCAACTATAAATTCATTATAAGTCTTTAGATATTACTTAGTTTCTAGCAAGTTATAAATATGTCAATTTTTAGGCATCTATGCACTAATTCCATCATATCTCAAAAATCTAATGCTTAAATATTATAAATTTTTTACATACAACTTTTTAACATACTCATCTATACTTATAAAAATTATGAGCTAAAAATTCATCTAAAAACTTAAGATATGGTTTAAACCAAAACCTCCATTAAAAACAATTCACTTACAAATTCTAGTTTTCAATACTAACTTCCAATAATTCTTTTTTATTTATTTTAAATTAGAATGTATCTATTTCTTTACATAAAATGTAGCTCTTTAAGTAAACTTTTGAACATCAGTTTTTGATTACTAAATGCCTTCTTAAAACTCTCTATATGCTTAAAAGAATAACAATAGGTATCAAAATCACATCCTAACTTCAAACAATCATATTTCCCTCATCAAAAACTTCAAATCACACATTTTTTTTTTCTTCCAAATTCTAGGCCAAAAAATAAGCTTTTTGAATCCAAACTCCAAACTTTGAATGGATTTTCTTTCCTTAAATAATCCACCTTGTCTAAAATGGTCTATCCTAGAGTAGTTCCAAACTTTAGTGTGGTCTTAGTCAACATCTCAAAGTCTATTGGACATGACTTTCAACCAATGGAAATGAAGTCTTCTATCACTCACTTTATCCATTCACATGGGATGGCTTAAGAATCGAAATATTATACTTTTGATACCAAAACCCTTCTACATTCCTTACTAATAAATCCTATAACTTTTATTTTTAATTATAAAATCTTAAAAATTAGATAAGTATTTTATTTATTTTTATTTATTTTTATTTTATTTTTATTTTATTTTTAATTATAATCCAAACTTTTACAATATTTCATTTTATTTTTATTATATTACTTTTTAGTACAACAACACTTAATTCAACTCAATTATACATTCAAAAAATCAGACATAAAAAGTTAAAAATATAATTCATCTCTTTATCCATCAAGTTAACTCAAATAAGTAATAAATGTAATTCTAATTTTTTCTAATATTGTAGAGCAAGGCATAAAAGATTTGCACAAAAAAGCTTAATGTAAATAGACACATATTAAAAAAATCAATAAGACATAGATGACTATTGTATTACATGTATTTTTTCATGAAAATGCATTAGGTACTTATTTGTGGAAGGTAAGTAGAAATGTAATAATAAAATCCTACGAAGTCTAATAAAGTCTTAAATAAATATTAAATAATCCTTAACAATCTTAATCAAACTTTTAAAAATTCAAAAGAAATTTAAAAGAAGTTTAAAAAAATATATATAAAATCACAATTAATTAATTTTTTTTAAAATCCTAAAAAAAAAACTTCAAAAAATAATAAAAATAAAAATCCTAAATAAATCTTGAATAAACCATGAGTAATTCTTGATAAATTCCTAAACTTTAGACCAATATTAATAAAATCTTAATAAATCCTAATAAAATCTTAGATCCTAACTAAATTCTAAACTAAATCTTGATCAAATTTTAATCAAATTTTAAATATTAATTAAATTCTAAATCAAATATTAATTAAATTCTAAATCCAAAATCAACTTTAATCAAATTTAAATCTCAATAATTAATAATTTAACCATTGATTTCAACTAAAATATTTGAATTTTTAATAAGTAAGTTGAAAATAAGAATAAAAAAATTTGAAGAAGATCAAACATATCAAATGGAAAATAACTCCTAAAATTTGCTTGAATGTTGGTTTTTTTTTTTTTTTTTTTTTTTTTTTTTTTTTCCAACCTTGATGTTTGATATTTCAAATCCATAATTTCTTAATCTCACTATTTGATAGATCTGAAACTTTGCATAATTGTTGAAAGTTAAATTTCCTACTTATGCACAAAATCTTATTGCAATTCAACTAGTGGATTGACAAATATCTTAGAAACCCTTCCTAGTTTTTTAAACCCCAATTCCTCAGACCTCAATATGTTTGAGCTTCAATAAACTTTGAAAAAATGGTTAGATCAAACTCAAACTTGCAACATGGATTTTACACAATAATCATCACTTATTTACAAAATTTCATCCATAAATCATCAATAAATTTAACACAATTATTCAAAGTACAAACTCTTTGAATTCTGAATTGTATTACCATGAGTGTGTGCTATGGCTACATTGGTACAAAGTCTTTGAATTTTGGATAATTGTGCTACAAACGCTTTGAATTTTGAATAATTGTGCTATAAACTCTTTGAATTTTGAATTGTGTTAATAAACCTAAATTGGTTATATAAGCACAAAATTCAGAATTTAAAGAAGATATAACAATGAAAGAAGTAAGGATGGCCATGAAAGACTTCCTGAAAGGGAAAACATCCAAAATAGACATGATTCCAATAGAATTCTTTCAAGCATGCTAAGAAGATATAAGTACAAATATAGATGAATTCATCAAAGAGGTCTTCATAGAATAAACTCTCTAAGGGGCTCAATACCAATAACATAGTACTTTTTCCAAAAACAAGAGATATCTCTTTACTTTCCAACTATAGACCTATCTCTCTTCTCAACGTAATATACAAAGTCATAGCCAAAATATTGGCCAATAGATTAGTTCCAAATTTACCTAAATGAATTCATAAATGTCAAACAGGCTTCATCAAGGGTAGATGCATATACGATAATACATTCTTTGCTAATAAAGCAATGACTTAGACAGAAAAGAGCAACCAAGATTTAGTAATGATGCTACTAAACTTTGAGAAGGCCTATGACCATATTAGTTGGACCATATTAGTATGGCCGTATTAGTTGGACCTTCCTCCAAGCATGACCCAAAAACATAAGGTGGATAATGGCACTTAGCATAGAAGTAAAAGCATTGATCATGATAAATAGGAAACAAAGCACATTCTTCCAATTGAAAAGATCTAAGTGCCACGGCTGCCTCTTCACATCATTCCTATTCCTCTTTGCAGCTGATGCTCTAAGATACATACTAGACGACGACAAACACAAGGTGGAAGGAATCATCTTACATGATTCAACGAGGCACACCAACTCCATGTTAGCCGATGACACATCACTGTTCTTAAAAGGAGACCAAGAAAACCTAAACAGAACTAAGAGAGTATTTGACACTTATTGCCAGGTTTGGGGGGCAAAAATACATTGGAACAAAACTGCCGCCATATGGGCTTCACCAAGACCACATAACCTGGACTAGGGACGTCAGCAAGGACTCACTTGGATCAGACCAGACTCCTCAGTGCTATATCTTGGGTTCTCGATTGGTTTCCACACATCCCCTGCTAAAAATGGAGCCAAAATCCTATGCCAAATAACTACATAACTCATCAAATGGAATCCCAAGCAGCTCTCATTTGCAAGAAGAACAATGATCATCAATCAAGTAATCCTCGCATCCATTTGGTACATTGTCTCATGCTCAAGCATTTAGACAAAAATCTTCATACAAATTTGAGCACTCATGAGAAACTATCTTTGGTTGGGCATGACCACAGGAATCACATGCGCCAAGGTACAATAGAACAATGCAATTCAGCCACTTACACATGGCAGAATCAAAGTATTCAATCCTGAGATACATGCACGGGCACTATTAGCAAAATTGATGGATTGAGGTATGGCACCAGGCGCAGAGCCCTAGAAGGTCTTACTTTGGCACCGCGCTACAGAAATGTAATACCGCAGAGGTGGAGCCTGGTATCCAAGTCCTCACAAAATTATGGGAGCCAAAGCCTCAATCACAAATACAGGTTTGCATCTCTAGCTTAAAACGAGACAAGTGTAACAAAAATTACAAACTGGCTTACAACAATGCATTCCACGATACAAAGACGAAATCATACAACAACCTCTATTTAACAACATCCTAATTTGAGCTCGAGATGGCACCACATGGGGTCACAACACAGCAGACAGATACCACTTATGGGCTGGCTGGGGACTGAAAACCTGCAGAGACCTATGGAACCCAACCACAGCAGAATGGCACAACACCGCCACACTGCAACATAGGCGGCCGACAAGTAGAAGACCAACGCGCCAACATACTAGAAAGCATGTCGTAGTACCCAAGTGAGGCACAAGCCTATGCACCAACAAAATGGTGGACACCGGATACAAATGGTCCTATTATTGGAATATTCTATATACTCAGGATCAAGGCACAGCCTCAAAAGAGCTGTGTTGATGTGAAGGCACTCCTCAAAAGAGCTCGAAGTAGTCAGCAGCGGCCCATCTACCTAAGAGACAAGGAGATCAAGCGCGACAGGGTCATAACAAGAACGAGACCGACCAGAATATTCAAGGACTTCAATCCCCTGGACAAACCTAATAAGGACACCATAATCTGGCTCGCCGGGGACAAGCCTATTCAACACATCCCTCTTGATCCAGCTGATTGGATATGGAAACAACATGGCGTCTTAACACAGACCAACATTTACAACTACTCCACAAAGCGAGGCTATAGACAATAGAGCCAAAAGAAAGCCGTCCCCCGGAAAGAGGAAACAATTCTCAAAACCTACAATATTGATCGCAAGGAATTAAAATAGTTCTACTTGACCCTATGGCATTCGTGGATTCTCAAGAAGGTCTCGGCAATGCAGTGGTTAGTACTAGCTAGGGGCATACTTGTGAAAGCATGGCGACAGGTGATGCAAAAAGATGGCCACTATTCACAATGTAACAACGAATCCATCGAAACGATACTCCACGCCTTTTGGGAGTGCCTTCACATCAACACAGCGTGGAAAAAATACAATGAGCTCCATGGGACCGCACAACTCACTCCACTCAATTGCTGGAATGACGTCCTCTACGACCCACTCAACTGCAACTCCCATCCAACGACGGACTTTACCCACTCAATTAAGGTCTCCGACGACACCTCATGGTTAATTCTGCAATCACCAATCTTTTGGTACAACTGGTGTAACAAGTGCGTGTTCGATAAGAAACAGCCATGGCATAGACACACGGTCAACCGCGAGGGAATCGAACGAGGGCACTATAAATTAACCTAATATTAGAATAGGCTCAAGAATAACCCTACCTCTCGGGACCCGACTCCAGGGGGAAAGGACAGAGCCGTGGATGACAAGTAAAAAAGGTGTTACTATTGCGACCAGTCGCGTTACCACAGGGTCAATTGCCTGTTTCACAAGTATTTGCGCGTTACTTTTACTACATTATTTTAACCCCGGTGGGGTATTTGGCTCAATGGTAGAGCAATCAACTGCAGTCCAATAGATCAGTGGTTCAATCCCGCTTGCTTCTTTCTTCAAAATTCCCTGATTCTGTAAGACTTGATGGAAGTAAGGACGAAACAAATTTTTGCAAAGTTGTGAAGTACACAATGTTTTGGTTGTTTAAAATAAGGGTCAATTGCACTTTGAGCATTAGTTTTATATTCTACTTCAATACACATGCATTGTGATGGTGATTCATTTTTGTTTATCTTTTTAACTTTTTGGTAAGCAAAATAGGCACTAAAATGATACAATATTGTTAAATAATGAATCATTTAACATAAACATCTCATATTCATCAAGCTAAACTTTATTATTTTCAAAATGAATGAATATTGATTTTTGAACAGTACAGCTAAGCTCCTAATACCAATCAATCAATAAGTTTTCTTTAAAATATCGCCTATGTTCGAAACGAGTAGAATCCCTGCTTCCGAAACTTTTGAAACTTCCAAGTCACTAGTTTGCTAGTCTCTCGTAAAGAAGAGTAATGACTTAACTTCACTTGACATAAGCGTATAGATTGGAACATCTCAAAACTCTAGTTACAACAACAAGTTCATTTGCAAATGAGTTAAATAATTCATTACGTGATACAGCATTCTTGTGTTGTAGTTACCTCATCTAGGCACGGAATGTAGACCCTTACAACCTACTAACAGTCAAGCTGTAGTTCACTAACTCTAATGCATGTAGAAATTGATGGTACGTAGATAAGCATTGAAATGACTTATGCACATGTGGGTCACTGTTACTGAATAAACACATACTAGTAGCGCAAACTTCTCTACAGAGACATGGAAGAGCTTGTGTGTATAGTTCTCCTGACAGCCTGCCGCAGAAAAGCAGAAGAATGAAACTTAGGTGTAAATAAACAACGTAAGTTATACCATGCAATCATGTGAACACGACAGTGTTTCCATCATACGAATACTTTTAGAAGTTGGTACTGCCTAATTGCAGGAAATGCTGGAGAACTTACTAGACCATCAATGTACGGTGAGGAATTTAGAGTATCTTGAGCCCCTTTCGCCACTCCTTGTAGTCCTCCGCGCCACGAACATCTCACCCGAGTGGCGAAAAAGTACTTTCTATTGATACCAACATCAAACCTGACCATCCAATAGCTAACCTTAAAGAGAAGGATAAAGAATCGACCATCAGAGCACTTTTCTGGTGTTCACAATTAAGGAGTGATGGCAGCAAAGACTTGAGCTTTTAAGACATGAAAGCGAATGCCTACAACGTCTTTCGCGTTTAGTTTCTTAATCCTTCTTCCAGCAATACCAAGGAATTCCATCTCTACTCATTCCGAAGCTTTACGGCAGCAAAGATGCACTGATACCAGAAGTGAATTGTATCTGATGGTCATCGAAACAAGCCTCCAGGAGCGCCGTCTTCGAGACTCAGGAGACGTGATTATATGTACGCGAGTACATAGACTTGGACTTTCTCAGTCCTTACACCTCATTCTGAACGCATTGATGACACAGACTGAATATCACTGACATCCCGAGGTGCAAAACCAATCCTGTCTCTCCACTGATCCATAAGATTGTTGAAATTGTCGAGGACTGCACCCTGTAGCCATTCGGGATCCGGCAAGACACTGCATTGCACAGCACATGAATAAGACCTAAGCACGATTAAGGGGATGGAAATACAAATACAGCGGACTAATAATAAAAAAGTCAGTAATGCTTAAAATAATGAGCTACGTGGCAGCACGATGACAGACCTCTCAAGGTCAGCACCACCGATAATATATGTTTCCTTCATTCGCTCCTCTTCCTGCGAGATGGCTTGATTCACATTCCTTGACAAAAATCCCGCATTCTTTGCAACCAGAGCAAGGAACTGCATGTCCAGAAGAAATTGCTGAAAGCCAAGAGGTCCTAGGTTGCCTGGCTCCTCTTCAATCATCTCCCAAAGTTCGGGACTAGTGCTCAATGCTTTTACAAACGTCTCAGTAAGACGTATGAGGAACAGCTGTGTCACCCGCTCCTTCCCAGCTAGCACATCCCCAGCTATTTGCTGGATAGATATAAGCTTGTGAAACAAGGACTGCACACCACAGTGCAAGTCAAAAGGAATTACGTGAGCGCTATTGGTGTAAAGAACATATCAGAGAGACGTCCAAATAATTCTTAAAACGAAAAAAAAAAAAAAAAAAAAAAAAACGAAAAAACATACCTGGAAAAGCGCTGTTGGCATGGGGCCATCCTGCCATCTGGGCATGTCGGAATCAATCTGGAAATAAGTTGCTGCACTTAGCTTGCTTCCATACTCATCATAACATAAGCCTATAATTATTTCATTGCAGAGATAAAATTTTAGTTTCTCCACGTGAGTCTGAAGCAGGCGCCGCAGGTCTTTGAGTTCAGGTGACCGGGCTGCCACTGTAGTGGAGCGGGGAGCCTTGTAATCTAAAACTTGTGAGCCACCTGGAAAAATTTGAGAAGCTGCGATTGCCACGATCTCGTCAGCAAGACTTGTAGCATTTCCCAGTAGTAACAACTGCTGTTCCTCGTTAGAAGCCACCCGAACCTGCAGAAGAAAATACAATGACATACAATCCAACTTGTGAGGAATGACCATATAACTTGGTGAGACTACAGACTATTGATTGCTTAGACAACCATTTCTAATATGCTACCTTAAGTTTGAAACTCGGTTAGAAGATAACCTTCCGTTTGCCTTCCTCCTCGTGCTCTTGGCCAGGGAGTGCCTTAATAAGAATATCGATATATTGCTCGAAAATAGCAGCTACACCCTCAAGGGCTGCTCCTCCCAACTGAATGCTGACAAGAGGTGGCATATCTTCCAGAAAATCCTGATCAATGAGAAAAATTGCCGGAAAATGCCACAGATCATTTCAAGATCACATAGATTAAAGGTTCAAATCGTTGAAATTGGAAAGAGACTGTAACAAGACGATGCTGAAACTCTCACCTGCACCAGGTATAAGAAACGATGGCCACTGGTGGTCAATGTGATATTTGATCCTCGTAATCCCCGTTGAGGGGAAGTATCCACAGTCCAGCTGTCAGCTACAGCCAATGAGTCCACACTTTCAATTATGCTCATCAAATTCGCTTTCGTGGCCTGTTCTACACTGGGTCGTATGAGCTTCGAGAGCGTAGGACACAGTGTCAATCCCCGATCTTCCAGCAATGCACAATGTCCAAAAGCAATTTGAGCACATTCAACAGCTGCTCGCAGTCCCCCGGCTGCTGCAGATGTCAGCAACACATTTCGTTTGATAACAGCAGCGCACATTTCAGTAATCTGCCTCGCCCAGAGGACCAGCTCAGAGGCATATGAAGGTAACTCACCAAACACAGTCGCTGAATCCCTTGAAGCCTGCAATCACATTCGAACAAAACATGAGATTCAGCTAGAAGATAAAATAACAGATAATTGCCTCAAGACACCTACAGATGATTTGGTTCCTGCAGGGGAGATCTGTGTTGAGAAAGTCCTCACCTGAGCTATAGCAGAAAAGACCAACTGTGAAACGGCAGTTGTGTAAACACCTCCGTAAGAGGCTCCGCTCTGTCGCAGAGAATTCATGTTGTGCTTCAACCTATCCTCGTGGGATTGCAACAAGAGCGTGTGTGCCCTGGACCCATCACCTAATTTGTTTAAAGCAGAAATTGCAGACCTGAGCTCCAATCCTCTGACAGTAGGTTGTTGCACTGCTTCGGATAAATAAGCAGCCAACCTTGCTTTACGCTCTGCCAAAGCATTTTCTAACTGCTTGATAACATATTCATTCAAACCCTCAGCTCCGCCGTTTCCATCGACGAACTCTGACACCAGAGACTCACCTTCACCAAGCAAAGCAAGTGCTTCATCCACCTTCCTTTCTGCCAGGAGCATGTCCAACATATCCGGGAGAAGTTCTGTTCGCTTCACCGCATCTGTGAGTTCTGAGTCGTCTTGGTGATAGTCCTTTGCAAGAGTGCCACCAGACGAGGTTAACAGTATTGAAGCCGCACTTTTAGCTACAGTGCGGACCAGAGCTGCCTGGGAGTGGAGTAAATTACTCATGGCCGTGATCTCGCCCTCTAGGTCTGAAATTTCTTTCGATGTACTTCAAAACCGAACAGACAGACAATGTCGTCAGTTTCCTCCCTCTTAAGCCAGCTCCAAATAACACAGAATTTTGTAAGAGCTGCGGCAAGCATATTTCAAACAGACCGCAGCATCCATATTCCAAGATTGGCTGAAGGTTGCCTCAAAAAATTTCAAAAGAAGACTTTTCTTAGTGCCAAGGTCTATCAGTTAGGAGTGAGTGTTCACCTGATAAATACAGTGTAATTTTGAAACACACTTTTTCTCATGTCGTCTTGATGTATCTTCTGCAAGTCCATGAGCTCCTCACACATCCTCCGAATGTCCTGTGAATCAATTAAAAAATTTGAACACATTTATACTGAGAAAACAGAGCATTTGATTGCAGAGCATCATTCACACCATCCAGACACATTAAGTAAACAAGAACTCAAGCAATCAATGTCTTAGACCCGTTGGTAGTAAAATGAAAAACAATCAACTAGAACGTGGGTTGGTTGACTGTATTGTCGAATATACTGGAGAAAGTCGCAATTGGTTGCAAGCTGATGCAAAAAAATTATCAATGCACTGAACTTAAAGCAGTACAATACGAAATTTCGAGCACTAAGGAGACTATGTATCAATCTATCACACACATATGTCGAACCAAAAGCCAGTCCATAGTCCGAACTTGCCAGCCGCAGCATCAATAATTCCACAATATAGTCATTAGCGAACAGGATACTAATCCTCGTTACTGCTTCCTCGAAGGCAGGGCTCCTGAGAAGTGAGCACAAGGACAAGTAAGCATACCTTCTCGCCCAAGGATTGTCCTTTGTAAGGGTCTGCGGAGCACTTTGAACTGACATCCTTCTTCCCATAATCTCTTTCCTGCTCATCGCGGTAAGCATCATAAGTAGACCTCCCATTCGGTGGAGGTGGCGCCCTGGACGATGGACCGAGGTTCCGGGATCTTACAGAGGGCTTTGCTGCCGCCATTACAGTGGTCTGACTAATGTCCTAACTCTCAACACCACCTTACCCTCACGCTCGCACTTCGATTCTCCGGGTACTACACTATAGAGCCTCGATACCCATGCGTGGAATGCAACAACTGCGGCACTGATCTAAATCCATCGCCACGATCCATCCGAACCGAAACTCTGCGCTACCAACTTTCGATTAAAACCCAAAATGCAAGAGCTCCCCGATTGGACCTCCATACGAAGAAAAAGAAGCAGAAAACTACCTCAGAAAACTCTTCTCACTATCCACACCGAATGGACGAAAAGCCTCCGAATTCTCTCCCCTGAACCTGCTCTGCATCCCACACTCCCAATCCATGTCCTCATACCCATCCCATTACCAACTCCGGCAGGCGCCACTTCTGATCACCGCATCCGAGACCCGAACCTCGAAACCCCAAATACAAACCAAAACCGCACTCCTTGCATGCCCCCATGTACTGGCGCGCCCGTCTCAGTCTCACGAGGAGACGTGAGGAATGAAGGCCACCACCACTTCGCAATGAGGTGCGAGCTGGGCTCAGCAACATACGCATCCGAGCTGGGTCCTCACGGCGACTGCAAAGGGAGGCAGGACAGGTCCTGCAGATTGGTGCAAGTACACAGCCGAGGTGAGGAAATGGAGGCGTCGCCAGTCCAACTCTATGGGATGAGGAGGAGGAGGCCCATCAGGCAACGCGACAGTGGCGTTACCAACTGCAGCGTTTCTCCTTTCTTCCACCGACACAACTTCATACTATGCCAACTGGATATTGAACCAATTCTTTCGCAATTTTCGTTTTTTGATTCACCTACTCCTCGAAAAGTCTAAATCCATTGTTCTTAACAAAATTTCTGTTGTTTTCCTGTGAAATTTTGGAAGCGCAACAAGACTGCGTTGCTTGCAAGGACCATGGCTTCCTCTTCACTTGACTGGCGTGTGTGCGGCTGGGCGATCACGGGGAGAGGCTGACGGGCTGGGTTGGGTGGTTGGAGCCCTGTTGGTGATGTGGACTGATTGCTGGCACCTCCTGCCCATTGGATCTGGACCCAACCCCAAATACTTTCTGTCAGATAATATTGCCCTTAAAAAAGAATTTTAACATATTACACATACACATAACAAAATAAACACTTAAAAAACTTCACAGTATTTCACAGTATTTCACAGTATAGCTACAAAGGTGAAGTACATACACATAACAAAATAAACACCCCTGTTATGTTTTTATTCAAAAGGATTAGAAAGTAGAACCACATTATTTTTCACATGCAAGAATTATCTTATCTACACATTGCATTGGTTATTCAAACGGTTGGCATTACCACACTTAGTTAATGAACGAGGATCTCTTGTACAATACAGAGACATAATAAAAATATTACACTGTTAAGATAAAAATTAAGAAAACCAAAAATCCTGAGATATCATTTTGGAACGTTATAATCCACTGGGAATTGGTAACTTACAAATGCCATAGAATAGATGTTAATGAAAATTAAACTAATGTACATAACTACAAAAAGAATATTGTACAAAGACGAAGATCAAAACAAAACACGAATAGGGGATTCAGGGGATGAATGAATGAATTCATGGGACTGTAAAGTTTACGACGATGGTCATCGACGAGAAAAACTAACGGATGTCATCCACTTATGGAGATGGCTATATCCATCCGTATATACATATATCCATCCATCCATCCATCCATCCATCCATCCCGGGGCTCTCCAGAAACCTCCAATGTGAGCGCCTCATCTTCCCAATCCTCTCCAGAACCCTCCGCAGGCTCATCTTAATTCCTCCCTTCGACATCGCTTTGCTCATGACCGTCTCCCCATAATCTGCCAATTCTGCGCTCCATCGCCGCTGGATCTTGCTTTCTCCTGTTGCATTCCCTAATCGTGGCTATGGCAACCACCGCAGCAATGGCGAGCTCTGCACTTCAAACCCCCTCGCAGTTGCAGAAGTGCCCAGTTGCGCGCTCGTCCGCTGCCTGCCCTGCCTTGGCATCCAGGACCTCCGTTGCCTTCTCTGGTATTGCGAAGCTCCGTTCTATGTTCATGTCTCTTCGAGGTTATGTGGATTTCTCGTTGTCGGAAGTGTAGGTGTAGGTTTTGTGAGAATTTGCAGAGGTTCAATGGTGTGGATTAAGGTTCTGGTATTGGACTCTGGTTATGTTGTCGGGTTTTTAGTTAGTGGGAAGGTTGGGCTTCAACTGCTTCTGGAAGAATCTTCTACATATCTGAATGCTTGCGTTCGGTAGTTGCTCATTATGAATTTGTTGTCAGGTTTTAATGGCTCCATGTTGAAGGCGAACAAAGTTGGAGGAAGATTGGCGATTTCTAGTTCAAGTAGGTTGTCAGTGAAGGCCGCAATGGAGGTGGACATTGGAAAGGTTTGTGCCTCCGTTTTTTTTTGTTGCATTAATGTTGCTGCTGCATTGCGTTCACCCTTGGAGTCTTCAGGAAAAGATGTAGTGACAGTGTTGCTGTCAATGGAGAGGACCCGCATTTCGCTAATAATGGTGCTGTATTCGCAGATTGTTCCTCAGGCCGACCGAGTGTTGATTCGTCTTGATGCTCTAGCTCCTGTAAGTCAAATTCCAATTTTGACTTCTACACTTGTGAATTTTAATGTTCTGTACTGTTCGAAAATCACGCGCTACACTCCTTCTGATTTGCGCGAGCAATGTTTTCTCCTCGGGTTGTCATACTCATAGTTGTTGCATTTTAGGTAGAAGTATGCACTTCATTTTTTGCCATTTTGTGGTAGAAGTTTTTGATCATCTAAGCTATGATCAGGTGGCTGTAAGTTTCGACCTAAGATACTGTTGCTGGGATCATACCATCACTGGTGGCCTTTTTGTTAATATTGAAATTGCAGCGTTGTGAAGAAATATGTTTGACGCTTCCATCTGTTTGCAGACATCTGCGGGAGGGGTGTTACTTCCGAGTTCAGCCGTCAAATACGACCGATTTTTACAGGGCGAGGTAATTATTGTGTTTGATCTCTGCAGTGTTTTTTTGTCTTGGTCTTCATTCAGTGACTTACGATTAGGAGGAGAAACGAAGTAAAGGTCGGGACTCATTCTACCTAATTGTCAGATAGTACATCTATTTTGGCGTGCGAAGTGTGATACTCTTTTCTGAATATCTTAAGTTTCTCAGTTCATTTGCTACTAACTTTATGCATTTCGTATGGATGAAAGCTTCTATTTTAAATGTAATTTTTGTTTGATGCAGATTATTGCTGCGGGGTCGGAAGTCAATGAAGTAGAAAAGGGACAAAGGGTAATACTCAATTACTACCCGCTTTTATCACCGTCTGCCGCTGGCATGAATTGTATTCAGAATTCTCATAGGCTGGTTGAGTTTGGAAGCGTTTTTGGAAATGAAACCAATCTTATCTCTTCATCCTTATGCTTTTGGCTTGAACTAGTTTTTATTCAGGTTTTTAATGATTTGATTTACTTAGAACCTGCGTCGAGGGAAACCGAAGTATGTAAGGTCTTTTACAACTGGATGTTTATTAGAGTAAACAATTTGTTTTGTTTAAACCCTTGAATGAAGTATAATACAGTTTCTCCTTTCAAATATCATGCCGAAAATCCAAAACTGAAGGCTTACTCATCGAACTTTATGTTGGAATTGTTACTTTTTGCAGGTCATGTTTGCAGATATCAACGCATATGAGGTATAATTTCAATCACTTAGTTCACCTATATTTTTCATATTTCTCTGCCTATGATTATAAATGGTGCAGAAGCGTATTGTCAAACCTGAAAGCTTCTGACATTTTGTTTTTTCCGCATGCAGATTAACCTGGGAACATCGGACCGCCTCTGCTTCTGTCGCAGTGGTGATTTGTTAGCAATCGTTCAGTGATTACCAGAATTGTTTTCCCAAATTTTGTAGGGCTGTTAGAGGCAATTCTGAACCTTAGCCTTAACATTCTAATTAGATGAGCACAGAATTATAACAACCACTTTTCTCGCTTTGTTGACTCTGGATGATACTCTCTTTTTGTATGAATAGTTTGAGTGGTAGAGCGCGTTCTTTTACTTATTTATTCTGGGTTTTGTACTAGTCTCAGAGATGATGTAAGTCAGATACAAGGAACGTGCACTATCAATTTAGCGTTGTTGGTTGCTGGTCTCGTGTCGGTTTCACCATCCACGTACTGATTGTAGAATGTTAACCGATGTTGGCGTGTCAAACTGAGGTTCTTAAAGCAAAAAGTGCAGAACAGGTGAATGTTGTCTACTGCACTTGTATCATCTCGGTGGTTGTTCCGATCAATACCTGGCTTCTACACATACTCTTCACCATGATGCGAATGACGTATCCACAAAGCCCATGTGGTAGCTTAGAAGAGCAAATAAATCAACCGGTCGATGCCAAAAATATATGCTCAGTGAGTGGTTCGGACATGGAAGTAACGAAGCTTTTGTTCAGACAACTTCAAATGGCCTTCCTTTTGAGTTATTGTTTTTCTCTCAGATTCCGATCTGCTACGAGAAGCCCACCACAATCAACAACTTAGCCCTTAGTCGTATTATTCTACTTATGCCAAGGCTCTTTCCTGAGCATGGAAATCAATCACGGAAAATAGTCGTACATGATCTAGTAAACTCTACAAATTATCGCACGCAACTTCAGATTGGCGGAGGAATCCGTCAACCAAATTCGAGCATTGGTTTGATGTGCAAACGAACAGCCACTTGACACCTGCTATTGTGGCTGATGTGCAATCGAACAGCCTCTCTTGGTAAATAGTTGTTCCCTTGAAGATGTAGTCCGGTTGCAACAAATATTTCTAGCGCCAAGATGCTGCCAGGATGGATTGTTCTTGGCCGATTCCAATATGCGATGGAGGTCTTCCGGACCATATGGGACGACATCGAAGTAGCGTTGTCTCGTCTCGTTTAGTTGTTGCTGCCTTTGTTCTAGGTGAATCCAGCCATTGCAGGCGTCGTTCTCTTTCTACTTCCATCAGGAGATCGTCCACTTCTTGAGTCAAATTTCATGAGTTATCGTCAGTTTCAGGTGTGACTCGGGCGATTGCACTTACTGGAGAGGGTATCATCTGGGTCGGATGCGCGGGAACCCTGTGAAGTGGAGCCACTACATAGCGGCGATCTTTCGTGGAAGCCATTGATGCCAAATTCTCTGAAGTACCTGTTTCCGCTGTTGTAGCGAGTATCCCATTCGGTCCAGATCTTGAAGGCCTCGTATGTGGTGAACTATTCTACGCAGACTAAGTCGGTAGCCTCTCTTGGTAGTATACTGAAAGAAGTTGCAGGATTTGAGGGCTCCAATTTTACCTCATTCCCATTCCTTTGAATCCCAACCCAAGTGATTAATTGTGACAGTACTGAATAACCATACATTAGCTACTTTCACGTTTTCAATTGAGAATTCTTTGGGATTAAATGAAACTTAATTTTTGTTTCCAATCGTACAGATGATGCGGACATGATGTGGGGTCCTGCTGGGAAGTTCTAAGGTGTTATTTGTGGATTTGAGTTCTTTTCAATTGGTTACTTGCTTTGGTTTGCACTGCCAGCTCGAACTTGTTCGCTGCTATAGATGGTGGACAATTTGTATGTTGGAAGTGGCCAGGGTGTCCCAATCACCAGGATCTAATTGAATGTGACTAGGTTTTTTTCAAGTAATTGCTACCAAGATCACTGCCCATTGTGTCGGTGCAGTTCAGGATCCAATAGCACGTCTAATGAAAGCCTCGGAGTGCCAATGCCCTGAGGGTAAGTGAAAGACATCTTTGATTTGGAAGACGCACCTTTTTGCCCATGTTGAGAATATGGAGTTCGGGTCGAGACCAAACGGATCACCAAAGGGGTGATTGATGACCGAGTTTCTGAATAGCGGTTGGTGCATTAATTCTGCTGCGTGTGAGGGAGGGGTCTGTTGTAGTCCTGCTTTAATTGTTTGCCAAGCCTGGAAGGTGACTCTCCAGAGGGGGGTTGAGCCTTGAGGAAGTGTCCGGCCAGCTATAATCTAGTGCATGTTCCTTGGCCACCTACTACCCCCGGTAGGTTTATTATGATTGACATTGTATGTAGCTAAGACGTTATATTTAGCTAAGACATTGTATTTAGTGAAGACCTTCCATGGTTCGTGGCTTCGTTTAAGGCTTCTTATTACCAACTTACACATGAGTGCGTAGGTCTGAAGCTTGGGGTGTAGTACCTTGGCACCACCCAAGTCTAGTGTCTGGACATGAGTGCATAGGTCTGAAGCTTGGGGTGTAGTACCTTGGCACCACCCAAGTCTAGTGTCTGGACATGAGTGCATAGGTTTGAAGCTTGGGGTGTAGTACCTTGGCACCACCCAAGTCTAGTGTCTGGATGAGTTCGGCCCAACTAATCTTGGCTTAGGTGGATTTTCTAACCTTGGCACCCTAGATAAAATTGCATGTAAGAGCTTGAACTGTTTTGAAGGTTGTATCTATTGTGGCTAAATAAAAACAAAGGAACCAAATAATCACTAGAATAGTTTAATTTGTAGTCATAATCCTTCTACCAAGGGATAGGTTTTTTGACCTCTATGTATTTAGTCCTGAAGTGATACTCTGAACGATTTTATTTGCTATGTCTTTTGTAGGGGCTACAAATCCTATGGAGAAGCCTAGATAGCATGTCATGGTTCTTGCTAGAAGCTAGTTCAGCTTGATATTATTTGTCTATTGCCATGAACGAGGTTGGTTGGATATCCAAATATTGATTGATTTATGTCAATTAATTATGTCTAGAGTTTAGTATTTTCAAGTATATAAGTTTACTTTTTGAAATAGAACAAGCCATCATTAAGAGTGCAATGTTAATATTGTATATCATCCACTTTTAGTTGATCACTAACCATCTTGAAATAAGCATCTCAATATATAGCTTCCTTCTATTTTGCCTCTTTGGTTAGATCTCAAATAACACTACTAATGGTATCAACTCTTGTCTTATCTCCAATAGCAAAGTCAAAAGCATCAATGGCAAGCATATAAGAAAGATTAGGATCATACAATTGTAATATTGAAGCAGTAATGAGTGCCTCTTTCAACTTATCGAAGGCATTTTATTGCTCTAATTTCCATTCAAATGAAGCACCCTTCTCCAATATGTTTGTCAATGAGGTAGCAATGTAAGCAAATCACCAAAAAAAATGGCAATAGTATCTAAGAAGGACTAAAAATGAGTGAACTTCAGAAGCATTTTTGGAGGTTGGCCAATCCTCTACTGCTTTCACCTTATCTTCTTCTATATGCATGCATTTGGAGGATACTACATGCTCCAAAAAGGTGACTTCCAACTTCCAAATTCATATTTTGATTGCTTGCAACAAAAACAACTATCTTGTAGTTGGCATAGCACTTCTCGTAGGTATTGCTCATGCTCTTTAGAAATTTTACTATATATAAGATTATCTTCAATGAAGATGAATTCATACTTATCCAAAAGATCTCGAAATAATCTATTTATTTGACCCATAAAAGAGGCTGGAGTATTGGTGAGGCCAAAGAGTAAAACTAGCCATTCAAAATGTCCATAGCACATATAAAATGCTGACTTTTTCACATCTTCTCTTACAATAAGTGTTTGCCAATAGCCACTTCAAAGATCCAATTTAATTAAGATGGTTGCACTTTTTGAGTACAAAGAATATAGGTGCTTCTTATAGTCATTTCCTTTCTTAAATGAGGCTTTTTTTTAAGAATTCATTCAATATCTTCTGTAACTCTTCAAGTTTTCTTGGTGCTAGGTGATAAATTGATTGACTTGCTGGTTCGGCTCTAGGCAATTATTCTATTTGAAAAGAGGCACCTTAATTAAGAAGTACGCTACTAGGTAGGTCAATTGAAAAGGCATCTTGATATTTCCATATGAGTTGCTCTGTCCATTCTATCCCTTTGGTTGAATTTTCTATCATTGATGCAAGATTTGGAACCATCATATATATATATATATTGATTACTTATTTTGTATTTGCTTATGTATAAAGCTCATTTCTAAAAATATATCTTTGATTACAGATTGTCTTTTTTCTTCATTTGATGCGAAGGTGCAAAGAGTCACCTTGCATCATCCATCTTTAAAAAAAATTATCCTTGATATTTAATCAATTTATTTATTTTCCATCTCTAATTGTGGCATATTAAGGATAACATCATACCTTAGTTTTGTCACCTTGAATCTCTTTCTTAAGACATAGGCGTCTATCAATTTCAAGGTTTCTTCTTCACACGTCTCATTCAATATGTTTTCTTGGTCATCTGTAGGATATATACTTCTTCCTTAGATTGCATTACTTTTAATTTGAAGTCGGTGGGAAATTTTGGTTGAAATATAATTTTCTATAAAGCCACAATCTATAAGCACTTCATATGGTTGTCCTCTTAGTAGTCTTGTTTGATGCATTAGTCAATTCTTTTTACAGTTATTCAAGGCCATGCCATTTTTCTTTGAAAGACACTAGTTATCTCTATTACTAGTCTTCAATGTTATTTAAACTCTAATTCATTATTAACTTGGTGAATTTCGAGACTATAAATCTGCCTTATGTAGCTGATACTTATATTTTGATATTTTAGACAACCTTCGATCTGATGGCATGACTCTCAATAATAAAAACAAAATTCATTTTCCACTAATATTTGTTATTTTTGTTGTGTGAATGATTCTTGTAGGGCATTAATATCCATTGGCATTGATTGTTGTGCCATAGTATTAGATAGCAGCATAGAACTTTGTACTATAGATTGTACTCCAAGATTTCTGAAATCTATAGCATTGATCTTTTCCGTAATCCTAATTGCCTCTTCAAATATTTGTGGATTCCTTAGCTCCACCTCTTCTTGGACTCCAAGTTATAAACCTTGTAAGAATCAATCCATCATCTTTGCCTCCAAAATATTGTCAATTTGGAAATATAGGAACTTGAATTGAGAGACATAATCTTACATCGACCTAACTTGTGTAAGATTTGTCAATTGATTGCATGCTATCTTCTCTGCATTGATAGATCAAAATTGATTCCTAAACTGAGTCTCAAACTCCTCCCAATCACAAAATATACCTTGAGCTCTATAGTTTTGAACTCAATGTTGCCACCAAATGGCTCCTGCATCTC